TTTGACCTGTTTTCACGTTTCTGAGCCCTGGCAAGATACCTTTTCACAATGCTTTACTTTTACAAGGCCCGTGCTGCTCTATTTTTACAAGGCCTGAGGCCTATATCGGGTAAAGGACCTTTTAGTGGTATTGGGGAGAGATCTTAATGGGGAGGGGGGTATTAGCGGGAGTATATTGGGTTAGAGTTGAAGGTCGGGTTGCTGAGGTTGGGGGATGGTAGGGTATTCGAGCTTGATCAAGACGGCTGGGAGGGAGGGGAAGGATGAAGATTGAGCGTGGGGGAGGGGTACGGATTAGTATGTTGTAGTGGTTAAGATGGGTGGGAGGGAGGGGAGAGATGAAGATTGAGCGGAGGGGAGGGGGGTGGAAGGGGAGGGGGAGCAGAGAGAGTTGTAGATGTTTAGATGGGGTTGCACAGGCGTTAGTTGGGGTTAGAGAGTCTTCACTTGTTTGGTGGTCTTCGGGAGATGGCGGTCTCCGTTGGGCTCTGGTCGTTGTGAGGTGGGAGATGGCTGCAAGCTGGGTTCCGAAGATTCCTTGCCTGTTGGGCTTCTGGCGAAGCGGTACGGTTGCAGCTTGAGCTGGGGTCTTCGACTGGAGGTGTGTCGGAGTTTGAGACGATCTTCTCTTCTGTCTGTGGCGGGATGGCTATGGTTGCTCCGCTGGAGAGGTGCGCTTGCGCTCGAGGCGCAAACTACCTGGTTGAGGGAGGGGTGATGGCGGCTTGCCGCCCGAATTCGAACTTAGGAGCGGGACGGAGCGTCGTGCTGGTGTGAGATCGTGCAAGAAGTGGAGGCGGGGGCCAGCAGCCGGCGGTGCGACTGGCCCGGTCGACGTTCGTCCGTCGGGCGTGCGGTGAGGCGCTAGCACAGAATAGTGCAGCGTTTCCGCGTCGCGCTAACCGTCGATGCGTTCGCCTGGACTCGACAGGTAATTTATCGGTTTAATTAGAATTGATTTGAATTCAATTCTATTTATGGTGTTGTGAGCTTCCACTGTGTATTCTCATCATCTGGTTTGGTGTGGATGGCTCTCTCCAAGTCCACTTGCCATTGCGCATTTGTATGCGAATGTGTGAATGCCATGCTTGATTTCGTTTCAATCAGGCACATAACAGTTATGTAACTGATTGAAATTCCATCCAACAACGCCTCCACACGTTCCCATAACCGTATGTAATGACAAAGCAGACTGGGAGCAGGCAAATCCACACAAAACAGGAGAGAAAGTACACAGCGGAAACTCAATATACGAAAATAGAATTGAAAGTGAAACTTCAATTCTTTTTCCCACTTCCTCCTCCAATCAATCAGATGTACAAAATTCCAAGAATCTCAACCTTGTTCCAACAAACCCGAACAACCTCACATGAAACTTCATCGAATCAACGGGAGTCTTCTCCTTCTTCCACCATCACCTCTACAGTCCCCTGGCTATGGCTACCACAGCCCGAAGCTGCAGACCACCAGTGCCTCTTCCACACTCAAGCACCGATCAGAATATCCACAGAAATCCTGCCGCCTGATCAGCACCCAACCAGGAGGTACAGCAACAGCACCCTGAACGAAGGAGCAACTTCGCAACGCGAAGAAGATGCAGAATAGCTGCCATGAAGAAGATGATAGCAGCACCTTACCTCAACGGCACAGCGATGGTGTCTCAACATCCGCGCCTGAAGCACATGCTTCAGCGCTGCCTTCCAGCACGGCCACGACGTCCAGCTTTGGCGCAACTCCTCCCGTGCAAGGCAGTGTCAATACCAAACTCAACGACGCTCCAAACAGCGCTGTCCCACCGCAGACTGAAAATGACGGTCAAAGAGCCCATTCTAACCCAACCTATTTCTAGACTCTCTACAACCTACAGGAGTCGACTCTGCTAAACAAACAGGCCTATGAGTAACGCCGGTACCAGTGCAAGGAAAATGAGTGATAGCGAATTCCAGAACCAAGCAGCATCATACACATGAAACCAGATAGTCTTGACCTCGAACCAAAAGCAGAATTGCAACTTCAGTTCCACCAAATAACGCACAGCAAAAGCTCACAAGTGACAATCGTGGAATAGTCTCATCATCATCAACAATGAACCAATGTCGAATTCCTATCTGCCGCTCAGCGCCCAGACTACGAATGGCAGATCCTATCTAGCCTATCTACAATGCCGCTGGTGACGTCAACAGCTTCCCGAAGTACCAGCAGATCTCGGCCAATGCCATCCGCCTCAAGCACCAGGTATGTCTCACCTCGATCTCCCACACAGATGCCACGTGCACCCAAGGACCACCATGCGGCCCATCCAGCATCTCGCAGGCCAGCTCGGCTATGGCTGCCTGGGTGTTACATGCTGCGCCTGCACACGAGGGTCATTTTCCAGGCCCTGCGTCCCTCAGGCTGAAAGCCTGAAAACCAGGACCTGCAGGCCCCGTGTCTGTTCAGCTCGAAAGCCTGAACTACAGACCCTGTGTCGTTTCAGACTAAAAATGGCAGTAGCCTTTTTAGCCTGAAACGAAGGGCCATTTTCGGTCCTTCATCAGACCGGCCTGCCCTGAAACTCAGGCACCAAACCAGGGTTTTAGGAACAGGCTATTTTTGGCCTGTTCCCACGACAGCTGCAGCGCCAGGCCCTGGCTCAGTTTGGCATGGCAAGAGCAGCCTCCTGGACTGCCCGCCCTGCAACTGCAGGCAGTCGGAGGCAGTCAGGAGGGAGGCCGAGGTAGTACATAGGGACTTCCCATGCACTTCACGGGCAGGCAGGAGGCAGTCAGTAGTCTTCAGGATTCGGCAGCAGCACTCTGGACGAGCGCTGCAGGAGTAGTTGTAGCGTTAGCAGTAGTCTTCAGCGCTGGGTGCTAGTAGCGTTAGTTGTAGTCTTCAGCGCTGGGCGACATAGCTAGAGTAGTACTAGAGAGAGAAAGGTTGGTCGGAGACCAGGGATACTTACCTGCAGTGCCGTTGCTCCAGCTTCGTCTTCGAGGTACCTGCAGCACAGCGCCATCTTCACAGGTTAGTACCTGACACATGAGAGAGAGAGTTCTTCTTCCTCTTCTCAGTCCACCATCTCCTTCTCACCCGCTCGCTATCTGACTTCACTGCATTAGCAGACTAAGAGAGAGAGAGAGAGAGAGAGAGAGAGAGAGAGAGAGAGAGATGGCTTGCTGATTTCTGCTGGCGAGATTGACTGCGAGGCTGTACACTAACCGGTAGGTTAGATTCGTAATTTTGTTTGGCTGACGGCTAACCGAGAGACCTGCCTGTAAGGAAATTCGTGAGGGACAGATCTGCAAATCCGGGAAAATACAGGCCCGGTACTAACCGAATTCCTACAGCTACCCTAACTGCCTATAGCAGGCCCGGGCTACCCCCAGGACAGACAGGCCCTAAGCGGCCTATACTACTAGACGGTCCTATAGCCTATAGCCGGGTCCGGTAGAGGCCGAGAGGCCGGAATAGCAAGGGTACCGGTCGGTCAGTCAGTCCGGTCTAGGTCTAGGCTAGAGTAGTGAGTCTATAGTTAGTTTGGCGAAATCGGTTCAGGGCTTTTGGCAATTCATTTTCGCGTGACCGCGTTCGTGGCCAACCAAGTGTTGCAGCGCTGAAAGTCTACAGCGGTACCTGAGACTTCAGCTAGGTGAGGCGGCCATAGCCAGCCTTGGAGAGACGGCCATAGCTGGGGCCAGTCTCAGCGCATCTACCCTCTGGGGGTATCTGCGTCAGGCAGGGCTATTTGGAGGCTCTTCGTGGGGTACAGGTGGGCGCTGCTGCCACGGTAGCAGCTAGGCAGCCATAGCTGCCTTCTTCTTCGTCAGAGTGGCTCATCGGCACTAGGGACTTCATCCCAGCTCATGACCTGCATCTGGGTGGATGGCGCTTGCCTCTGGAGGCTGTTTCAGTGTAGCGCTGGACTCTGAGAGTGGGGTAGTGGGTGTGTGTGTGGTTCTGAGGTGGCGAGACACTGGGTTAAACTTTGTAACGATAATTGGGGTTAATTGAGTCAAGTTGGCTCATCATCAGTGTTATATTCCGATTGTGATCTTCGCAGTGTCATCTTGTGATTGGTTGTTGGGAGTTTGTCAGAGAGAGAGAAACATTGTGTGTATTCTCCCCATCTGTGCATGGTTGCTATTCCGCTGCTTATCTCTGGTCTGTGTACAGTTTGTACTCTGTCTCTCCTCCCCTTTGTCTTGTGCATGTATGGGCATGTGTAAGATACTTTGAGTGTGAGTGGTGAGAAAATTGCGAGACAACCAAGTTCATAACAGTTGGTATCGGAGCGGAGATTGGACTTGGAGCACTGAGGGTTGAGCGCAACAGAGGCACCTGCTCCTTCTGGCTCTATCTGGCGAGAAGCTCCATGTTGAAGCTTCATCTTCAGTGAAGATACGGAGAGGGGAGCAAGTATACAAGCGGTGATTGCAAGGAATCAATGTGTGATTGATCAGGCGCACTGAGCGTGTCTGAGCGCCAAACAGGATTTGGCGAGGACAGGGGTATTTCGCCATCCACCCTTCTGAGCCCAGTTGATGACTGAGTCCAGGGTGGCGAATTACACCCTAATCCAGTGATACATGGGTGGCGGCATCAAACCCAGTATAGCGCTGAGGGAGAATTGATTGCGGGATCAATCTCCTGCTGAATTAGTCCTAATCAAGGCTAAATTTAGCACCAGCGGCTTACCACTGCAGTGGCGAGAAATCTTCAGGAGAGTTCCCCATCGCCATTGAGCCAGATTCAGTGAATCTCAGAGTGGGGGTTGAAGCGCCACAGTATACTGAGCAAGATCAACAAGTTTCAGGGGATTCTACGCATGGAGATCAGTGGAGGAGTGTCTGCAAGCAAGTGGCGAGATCAGGGTTCTGTCAGCCATAGCCAGGACTTCATCATCCACTAGGGCAAACACCACAAGTGAGTGTGTTCCGTGTAAATCCCTGAGTAGCGATTAGTTTAGTGTCAGTAGAATTTGAATTGATGGTCTGTCTGTCAGTAGGGTCTCAATTTTGAAATTGTCAGACTGTAAGACAGCCATAGCCATCTTCTTCCTCCCTACCCTGACCCATATCTCACCATCTGTTGACTGTTTCTGACTCAAATTTATTATGGGACTGCATGACAGTATTGCGTTGCACCCTGTATGATCATTTTGTGACTTCTGTACATGAAAAGTAGTGATATAGTGAATCTTAGTTTTGCGCTGAGTCTATTTTTAGCCTGTGCTACCTAGGGTCAGTCAAAACTTAGATTTTGTCCGTCAGAATTCAAGTCTGTCAGTCTGGGGTGAATCGCAATTCAGTAGTAGTCATCTGTGCTTAAGCGCTAGCCCAAAATTAGTGAATTTGAGTAGTTACAGTGAAATACTGAAAATCGTTGTGTCAGTGGGTATTTCGGTTGATGTCAACAGTGGCGAAATTTGAGTTCAGGGCTGTCAGGGTCTAGTCTACTGCATCACTACTACTTGTTGCCCTGCTCTGGTTAGTTCTTGTCTGTATCTGTCTCTACCACTAATTATCTTTGTTTTCTGATGGGCTCTGGAATGTTAGTGATCTCTGGAATACACTGGAACTGTATGTTTCTACGTCAGTGATGGTTCAGTGTCAGGTATAGGAAATCGTTAGTGAATGATTTTACTGGACTTTTAGTCTGCCTGATTACTGACCCCAGTGATTGTATTCTAACCCTAACCGCTTGTGCCTACTAACCCACCTTACCCTGTGAATTGGTGTTGTAGCGATTTCTGAGTGTCTGAGTGGATTGCAAATCGCTGCACCTCTTGTTGTCTAACTCTTTTGTTTATTGTTTATGAAAAGGAAAATGACTAACGCTGCTAACTCAGGTGAGGGACAGGTAGAGATAGTAGTAAAGAGAGAAGAAAAACCTTCCCCCTCTACTACTACCCCTCCTCCTCTCACCCCTGCTCAGCGGCGCAAGAGGGAAATTGAGGCAAAATTGCGAGAGCAACAGGCGCTGCTCGCAGAGGCGGAAAGACAAGAGGCCGCTGAACTGGAAGCTGCAACAGATGCCTCTAGAAAAGAGTTTCTGCTGCTGCAAGCCGAGAAGACTGACAGATGAGAGAGTAGCCCAGTGCACCAGGTACTTGGCTGAGTGATGATTCTATAGAATAAAATCACAGCCAGCCACTTCACTAATTGGGATGATCCCATACAGCGCCTGGAGCGCAGGATGGATGAGCTGGGAGCTCAGCAGTCCAAGATACTGGATGCAATCCAGAATCTGACTGCTCAGCTAACAGCAGCCAACGTGATTGCCCCTGTGCCTCCCTCTCCAAAACCCAAATTGTCTTCTCCTCTTCCTTCACCTCCTGGCTCCCCTCATGGTTCCCATCAGTCATCTCCCTCTACCTCCACCCATGCTAAAGTCAAACCTCCTCCCACCTTTGCTGTTGTTGTTGCAGGGGATCAGCGGGGACCCAAGATCCCTGCACCCAGCAAGTTTAGGGGTGATGACCCCAAAACAGATGTTGGGGACTGGGCTGCAGGAACCCGGGCCTATTTGAAGGGTTTTGTGTGCCCACACACGTGGTTAACGGGGTGGGGCTGCTGGAGGGCCCAACCCAGAAATGGGCTGCGTCAACAGCCAGCGGTCAGCAGCAAACATTGGAGGACTGGGCTTCAGCCTTGGGAGGGGGGAAACTTCTGCAGGCCCTGGAGGAATGCTTTGCAGACAAGGAGAGGCCCCGCAAGGCTGCTGACCGGATTACACGTCTGGGTCAGCAGCGCTATAGCGGTACTCTGCAGTCCTTGTTTGCAGAGTTTGAGCAGTTGACCTCCACCCCTGGGCTGATCATGTTTGATGATGATCTGCTAACGAACTTCTGCAGGGCTGCGCCTGAGAAGTTTTAAGTTGCTTTGTACAGCGCAGGGCACAAAGATTGGAGATCTTTCGGCCGTGCAGCCCTGGATATGGAAGCAAAGCTCCATGTCCAGGCCCCCTCCAGTGATAGGAGGAGAGGCGCTTTCCCTTGCGGTGGTAGAAAGGGAAAAGCGGCCTTTGCACATGTAGGGTCTGACACAGCCTCTGATTCAGGATCCCGCCCTGGTACACCGCCAGATGGGACTGCATCAGCTGCTGTTTCAGATGTTGCAGCAGCCATGCAGCAGCTGCAGGCTGCGCTGGGAGCCTTCGAGAAGGCCGGGTCTTCCTCCAGCACAGCCTCCAGCAGCCAGGGGAAGAGCAAGGGACGTCGCTCTTCTACCCCTGCCCGGCGCCCTAATCTGCCACGTGACATCCGATTTCCAACAGACCCCCTGAATCCCAACACTCTCCCCTGGCATGATCTGAAAATCCAGGAGGGAGTGTGGAGAAAAAGGAAAGAGAGAGGGGTCTGCTTGAGGTGTGAGGGGCAGCACTTTCTCAAAGACTGTCCCTACATGCCAAGTCCAGCTTAGTCAAAAAACTGAAGCTGACCCTGGAGACTGCAGTTCCCTCCAGTGCTGCTTGTGTACCTACTGATGTTAGTGCACTTGCAGTAGCTTCAGTTGAGACTTCTTGTGGACATCCCAGTATGGGGACTGCGCGGGCAGCATCCTTCTATTATGAGGATCCTGACCCGGATCAGGAACCGGAGCAGTATGAGCTTCAGGCTATTGCTGCTTTTTTGTTTCATCTAAAAGAACAAAAGCGAAGCAGATCTGATATCATCCTACTTCGGCTCCTGATCAACCACAGCCGGATCAAAGGGCTGCTGGACTGTGGAGCCACCAGGAACTTAATGTCTCCCAGTGCAGTTAAGAAACTGCATCTGGGCATGAAAGTTATGCAGCTGCAGCAACCACTGCAGGTCAGGATAGGAGACTCCACTGTTCTTACCATCAGGGAGAAGGTTAGGGGCATCCCTGTTACCTTCGACAGCGCTGGAGAAGTCAGACATAGTCTGAACTTCTACATCTTCCCTGACTTACCCTTTGATCTGGTATTCTCCATGCAGTGGCTGAAAGCAGTCAACCCAAGGATCGACTGGCAGATCCCCAAGGTTGAGCTGCCTGACAGCAAGGGGGTGTATCAGCCATGCATGATTGCTGCTGAACACCACCCTAAGACTTCATGCTTCTGCCTGAGAGCGAGGGAGTTTTATGCTCTCTCTCGCCAGTATGACCATGAGCATCTGTTCCTAGCTCTGGTCAAGCAAACAGACGTTCCCACTGTTGTCTGTCCTCCTGAGATACAGCAGGTAGTTGACCAGTATGCTGATCTGATGCAGGAGCCCATTGGACTACCCAACAAGCCAACCAAGCATCACATCGAGCTGCTGCCTGGAGCGGTCCCTCCCAAGGGCCGCATCTACAGGATGTCCCCTGCTGAGCTTGAGGAGCTCAGAAAACAGCTTGAGACCCTGACCAGCAAAGGCTGGATCAGACCCAGCACATCTGAATTCGGTGCACCTGTTCTCTTTGTGCCCAAAGGGAACGGCGAGTTCAAGATGTGCATTGACTACAGGGGTCTCAACAAGATCACTAGGAAGAGCACTGAGCCACTTCCTAGGATCGATGACCTGCTGGACATGGTCCAGGGATGTACGATCTTCAGCAAAGTCGACCTCAAATCTGGCTACCGCCAGACTGAGATGGCTGAGGAGGACGTCTACAAGACAGCCTTCAAGACCAGATATGGTACTTACGAGTATCTGGTTATGCCATTTGGACTTTGCAATGCACCTGGCACGTTCCAGACAGAGATGCACCGCATCTTCAGGCCTTACCTGGATAAGTTTATGGTTGTCTACCTGGACGATATCCTGGTATTCAACAAAACTACCAGGGAACATGCGGAGCACCTGGCTCTCGTTCTTCAGTCGTTACGTGACAGCCAGTATAAGATTAACAAAGAAAAGTCCTCTTTTGGGCTTCCCTCTGTTATCTATCTGGGTCATGTAATCTCTGGAGATGGTCTGGCTCCTGAAGCAGCCAAAATTGCTGCTATTCAGGAGTGGCCACAACCTCAGACAGTGAGAGATGTTCGGTCCTTCTTGGGTTTGGCCGCATACTACAAGAAGTTCGTCAGGAACTTTTCTGCAGTGGCTACACCCCTGACTAACCTCACAAAGAAAGATACTCCCTTTCTTTGGTCCCTTCACTGTCAGATGGCCTTCGCACGACTCAAACAGGCCTTGACTCGTGCCCCTGTATTGAAGCTACCTGACCCCACTTTGCCTTTTGTCCTGACTACTGACGCCAGTCAGTATGGCATTCGGGCAGTACTTCAACAGGATGATGGGAATGGTCTACGGCCCGTGGAGTACATGAGCAAGAAGATCAAGACCCAAAAGCTTCAGGACTCCACCTACGAGAAAGAGTTGTATGCTCTTGTCAGTGCCCTAAAGCATTGGAAGCACTTTCTCCTGGGAAGACACTTCAAGATCTTCTCAGATTATTCCACCCTGCAGTGGTTGAAGTCCAAAGGAGAGTTGAATGACAAGCTGGCACGATACATTCAGTTCATTGACATGTTTGACTTTGAACTGAAGCATAAGAAGGGCTGCTACAATAAGGTAGTTGATGCCCTCTCTCGTAGGCTTGACTCTTTTGCATTGATCTCCTCTACTCACTCCTTTGGAGAGGAGACCCGTCAGACCATTGCTCGCTTACTGCCTCAGGACCCGACTTATGGACCCATTGTCAAGAACTTGCAAGCTGATCCCAATTCTGAACTTGGCTATGTGATGAGTTCATATCTGCTGTATACCTACAGCAGAGGGGAGGAGCGCTTATGCATTCCTAAGCATCAACAACTTAGGACACTGCTGATGTCAGAGTGCCATGATGCGCGTGGACACTTTGGGTTCTTAAAGTCATATGCAGCCCTGTCGCAGCGCTTCTTCTGGAAGGAGATGCGGAGTGAGATGTTGCGCTATGTGGAAACCTGTGAGCTATGTCAGAGGAACAAGGTTCAGCGGAAACCTCCTCTAGGACTGCTCAAACCCCTACCCATACCTGATGGTCCTGCTCAGTCTGTGTCCATTGACTTTACAGACTTAGGCAAGACCACCCCTCGTGGCATGCGTGGACAGGTTCTCCAAATACGCAGAGTTCATCCCCTTACCAGAGGTGGCGAGGGTCCCGGCTGTGAGAGCAGCCTTTTCTGAGAGGTGGGTCACTCACCATGGGCCGCCCACTTCCATCGTCAGTGACCGAGATCCCCGATTTTGCAGCGAAGAGTGGCAGTCCTACTGCAAGGATTATCTGCACTCTCGCTTGGACATGACTTCTGGTCGACATCCTGAAGCCAATGGTCAGGCTGAAGTGATGAACCAAGTCCTGTTCCAACTATTACGTCCTGTCATCTCGCCAGATCAACTAGTCTGGGATCTCCATCTGGCTCGTGCGCAGCTTATGTATAACATGTCTGTCCATTCCTCGACTGGGTTCAGTCCTTATCGATACCATTGAGGACGTGAGTCACGTCAGCCTCTCGATGATATCATCGACAAGGCTAAGACAGATCTGACACCAGGCACAACAGATTTCACCAGATGCTATCGCCTTGATGTGGAAAGAGCGGGCGCGAACTTGTTCAAAGCCCAAAAGGCAATGATTGAACAAGCTAATCGCCATCGCAGGCCTTTCCCCATTCGCACTGGGGAATATGTCTGGGTAGCCAGTTCAGAGTTGTCGAGGGAGGAGGATATCTCTCCCAAGCTGTTGTCGAAGTACTTGGGTCTGTGGTAGGTGTTAGATACAGTAGGGGCTAATCCTTTTGGTCCGTCATACACCATTGACGTCCCTCTGCATCTACGTACCTATCCGGTCTTCCATGCATCTAAGCTGCTTCCCTTCACCCCAGCTGATGCATTCCCTGACCGGCCGCCTCAGTGGGGTCCACCAATCCTTGGTAAGGGATATGACGTGGAATCCATTAAGGATGAGTGGGGCACTGGCCCCGACCGGCAGTATCTTGTGAAGTTCGCCTTCCAACCCCCGACTGAGAATCAGTGGTACTATAGGAAGGACCTTCTCAAGACAGCCAAGTCAGTTATGCTCAGATACGAGGCGGCTCATAAGGGTAACTTCCCTCGCCGTTCGCCTCGCCTACAGCCCTAGCTCGGAGGTCCTCACTCCCGGGGAGGGTAAGCCTGCAATGGCTTGCTGATTTCTGCTGCCGAGATTGACTGCGAGGCTGTACACTAACCGGTAGGTTAGATTCGTAATTTTGTTTGGCTGAGGGCTAACCGAGAGACCTGCTTGTAAGGAAATTCCTGAGGGACAGATCTGCAAATCCGGGAAAATACAGGCCCGGTACTAACCGAATTCCTACAGCTACCCTAACTGCCTATAGCAGGCTCGGGCTACCCCTAGGACAGACCGGCCCTAAGCGGCCTATACTGCTAGACGGTCCTATAGCCTATAGCCGGGTCCGGTAGAGGCCGAGAGGCCGAAATAACAACGGTACCGGTCGGTCAGTCAGTCCGGTCTAGGTCTAGGCTAGAGTAGTGAGTCTATAGATAGTTTGGGGGAATCGGTTCAGGGCTTTTGGCAATTCATTTTCACGTGACCTCGTTCGTGGCCAATCAAGTGTTGCATCGCTGAAAGTCTACAGCGGTACCTGAGACTTCAGCTAGGTGAGGCGGCCATAGCCAGCCTTGGAGAGACGGCCATAGCTGGGGTCAATCTCAACGCATCTACCCTTTGGGGGTATCTGCGCCAGGCAGGGCTATTGGAGGCTCTTCGTGGGGTACATGTGGGCACTGCTGCCACGGTAGCAGCTAGGCAGCCATAGCTGCCTTCTTCTTCGTCAGATTGGCTCATCGGCACTTGGGACTTGCCTCTGGGAGGCTGTTTCAGTGTAGCGCTGGACTCTGAGAGTGGGGTAGTGGGTGTGTGTGTGGTTCTGAGGTGGCGAGACACTGCGTTAAACTTTGTAACGATAATTGGGGTTAATTGAGTTGAGTTGGCTCATCATCAGTGTTATATTCCGATTGCGATCTTCGCAGTGTCATCTTGTGATTGGTTGTTGGGAGTTTGTCAGAGAGAGAGAAACACTGTGTGTATTCTCCCCATCTGTGCATGGTTGCTATTCCACTGCTTATCTCTGGTCTGTGTACAGTTTGGACTTTGTCTCTCCTCCCCTTTGTCTTGTGCATGTATGGGCATGTGTAAGATACTTTGAGTGTGAGTGGTGAGAAAATTGTCAGACAACCAAGTTCATAACAGAGAGA